TGTTCAACGACATCACTCACCCAGAACAGTTACCGCCAGAGCAGTGGAGGCGCACCACCATCACTGTGATTTTCAAATCAGGAGACGCAGAACTACTACAAAACTAGACCAATTGCAAGTATCCCTCTCCTGTACAAGTTTGGGTCTCGGCTCCTGTACAATCGACTTGGTCCACGTTTAGGCAAGCAGCAAAGCGTAGACCAAGCAGGCTTCAGACACGGCTACAGCACCTACGGCCGCTTATTCACGACGGCTCTCGTGCCAACTGGTCAGAAGAATGGCACTACCACTCTGGGTAGCAGTTGTGGACTTTCAGAAAGCATTCGGCTGTGTCAACCACAACGCACTATGGGCCTCACTAAGAGAACAGCAGGTGCCGGCATCCTACACGCACCTCCTCCAACAATTCTACATAGACCAGACCGCTACAGTACGGACGGACAGCACGAGCAGACAGTCCAACATCCAGCGAGGTGTGAAACAAGGAGACCCACTGAGCTCCCTACTTTTCAACGCGCTACTTGAAAACATTTCCCGACGCATAAAGGACACATGGCGCAACAAACAGTTTGGTATACGGAGGTTGGTTTCACCATAGACACCCTCCTCACCAACATCCATTTTGCAGACGACGTTTTATTGTGTGCGCCTTGTGTCAGCTGAAATGTTTACTGCGCGACCTCAAGCTCCACTCGGCAAAGTGCGGCCTTGAGTTGCACCCAGACAAGACGAACATACTGACCAACGTCACCCGGCGACAGGCAGAACTATCAAGGCCACTAACCTCGAAGGTGATAGCTTCGAGATTCTGGACGCAAAGCAGAGCGCGAAGTATTTTGCAGGAAATTCTTTACGCTTCGCGTATCCCCACCAGCCCATCTCACAGCAGCAACTCTCGCGAAGCATGCCGACAGTCGTGTTTTTCAGGCGTGTGTCCGCTTGGCCCCGCATATCTCCCCTGTTCCTCCTTCCTCCCGCCTCCTTGTACATCCTCCTTGTGGGGGGAGCGGGAGAAGGACGAGGCGAAGGAGGAGGGAGAGAAAACGCTCCTCGTGGTTTGAGTCGTTTGGGGTTTCTCGTCCTGGTCTGAGTCGTTCGGGCCCTTCTTCCTGGTGTGAGTCGTTCGGGCTCTTCGTGGTGTGAGTCGTTCGGGCTCTTCGTCCTGGTGTGAGTCGTTCGGGCTTCTCGTGGTGTGAGTTGTTCGGGCCCCTCATCCTGGTGTGAGTCGTTCGGGCCCCTCCTCCTGGTGTGACTCGTTCGGGCTCCTCGTGGTGTGAGTCGTTCGGGGCCCGCGTCGTGGTGTGAGTCCTTCGGGCTCCTCGTGGTGTGAGTCGTTCGGGCGCCTCGTCCTGGTGTGAGTCGTTCGGGCCCCTCCTTGTGGTGTGAGTCGTTCGGGCTCTTCGTGGTGTGAGTCGTTCGGGCCCCTCGTCCTGATGTGAGTCGTTCGGGCTCCTCGTGGGGCCTCTTGGGGGCCTCTTGGGGCCTCGTGGGGCCTCTTGGGGGCCTCTTGGGGGCCTCTTGGGGGCCTCTTGGGGGCCTCTTGGGGCGTCGTGGGGGCCTCTTGGGGGCCTCTTGTGGGCCTCTTGGGGGCCTCTTGGGGCCTCGTGGGGCCTCTTGGGGGCCTCTTGGGGGCCTCTTGGGGGCCTCTTAGGGCCGCTTGGGGGCCTCTGGGGGGCCTCTTGGAGGCCTCTTGGGAGCCTCCTGGGGGCCTCTTGGGGCCATCTTGGGGCCTCTTGCGACCTCCGCAGGAGCGCAAAGGAGAGCTGCCCCCTGAGAAGGACAAAATGAGGCCAAAACCTTCGTAGAATCAGTGATTTTGCTATGAGGGAAGAGAAGCGCGGACCCCCCAGGAGGCCAAAATGGGGCCAAAGTGGGCCCCCCCCGTCGGAGCCAGAATCCTCGTGAGGGTCGTCGTTTTTTGGCCCTTCCAGGAGTCAGAAAAGACCCCCGTGACGACGCTCGGCCCGCCCTCTCCAGGTCCAGGGGGAGGGGGTAGGGGGAGGGGTAAACCCCTCCCCGAAGGGGAAGAAGGGGGGTTGGGGGGTTGAGGACAGAGAAAGCTCGCTAAACCACTCACGCCCAAAGGGCTGGTGGGATTTACATGCCATGACTTCCACATCACGGAGCTCGACAACAGAATCGCGTCGAGCTGCCGCCGATTCGACCAACTGAGACACGACTTGACATGCAAACAACTACCCTCTCGCAAGTCGCCTACGCCTTTTCAGCGGGACCGTAACGCCCAGTGTCATGTACGGGTGCAGCTCGTGGGCCCTAGCCAAAGACATGCTTACATTAGAAAGAGCGTGTTCTACCGCTGCTGGCGGAAAACCGGGGGGGGGTCACTACCAGTTCGAACCCCTCCCCCCCCCCCTCCGAAAACCGGGGGGGGTCACTGCGGTTCGAACCCCCCCCCCCCCATCATGAAAAGGGGGGGGGGTCACTACCAGTTCGAACCCCTCCCCCCCCCCCCTCGAAAACCGGGGGGGGGTCACTACCGGTTCGAACCCCCCCCCCCCTCGAAAACCGAGTGGGGGTGCGGACAGTGGTGGGGACGGTGTTGGTGGGGACAGTGGTGAGGGGACAGCGGGACAGTGGTGGGGACAGTGGGACAGTGGGACAGTGGTGGGGACGGTAGTGGTGGGGACAGTGGTGGGGACAATGGTGGGAACAGGGGGGGACAGTGGACAGTGGTGGTGACGGTGGTGGTGGGGACAGTGGTGTGGGGACAATGGGAATGAGGTGGAAACAGTGGGACAGTGGAGGGTACAATGGTGGTGGGGACAGTGGTGAAGGCGGTGGCGAGGACGGCGGTGGGACAATGGGACAGAGGTACAGTGGGGACTGTGGTGGGGACAGTGGGGACAGTGGTGGGAACAGTGGGACAGCTCAGTGGGACAGCGGAGGAGTCAGTGGGACAGTGGGGACAGTGGGGATAGTCGGGCAGTGGTTGGGGCCGTGGAGACAGTGGGGAGAGTGGAACCGTGGTGGGAACAGTTTTGGGGACAGCGGGGACAGTGCGACAGTGGTGGGGGCACTGGTGGGGACAGTAGGGACGGTGGTGGAACCAGTGGGGACAGTGGTGGTGAGGACAGTGGTGCTGGGAACAACAGTGGGGGATGTGATGCGGACGGTGGTAGGGACTGGGAGTCGTTTGCTGGCGGTGCGTGGGGGGGGGGGGGGTCGAACCGGTAGTGACCCTCTCCGGTTTTCGATGGGGGGGGGGTTTCGAAGCGGTAGTGACCCCCCCCGGTTTTCCGGATCCGGAGGGGAGGGGAGGAAGGGTTCGAACCGGTAGTCCCCGGTTTTCGAGGGGGAGGGGGGGGGGGGGGAGGGGTTAGGGGAGGGGGGGGGTTTTGCCGGGGGGAGGGGGGGGGGGGGGGGTTCCAGCAGGGGGGGAAGATTTTCGGAGGGGGGGGGGGGCGACCCCCGGGCTCCGGAGGAAAAGGTCGGCAATTTTCCACAGTAAAGCGTCGGTTGATCACGCTCTCTCATATGTACAGCGTACACAGCGGAAGCTAATCCGAATCATCGTGGGCATTGGCAGACGACACGCGCGACGGAATCGCTGGAACGACGACGAGAAAAACCTCCAACCTAGCAGCGACCAGCCGGAGGAGGGAGATGGAGCAGAGTGCGCAGAGCTTGACGGAGAGTTCGCCGAAAGCAGCCCAGACAATGACGACAACACTAACAAAAACGACTTTGGCAACGACGGAAGCGCTAAAAGCAGCGACGGCGACGATGACGACGACGGCGGCAGTACCCGCAACAGCGACGGCGACACGAACAGCGACGACGGATTAGAGCCATGGGTGGACTTCATCCGACGAGAGACGCACGCGGCCGATGCCCATGCCAGACGCGCGAAAGTCGACGATTGGGCTTCGCACTACTTTAAAGCAAAGTGGAGATGGGCTAAGCGGGTTGCCAATTTACCCGCCGACCGCTGGGCGCGACGCGCCGCCGCTTGGCAGCCTCTGCTGCGCGACAGAAGACCCGCGCAACGGAAACAAGGCGGACAGCGGAAACGTTGGGACCACGAGATCGTCAAATGTTTGGGCATCGTGGATATGATTGACCACAGCAAGAGCCTCCCCGATGATGCTGGCTGCACATGGTGGTTTGCGCTGGCGCACGATAGCTACGCTTGGCAGGGCTTAGAGGACCTATTTGTACGATTCGCCGTCGACCAGCAAAGAACGGACGACGCGAACTGAAGCGCCCGGCCCGTCCGCCAATATGTGTAATCGAACCAGAGCGAGCTGGACATGCACACCAATTCCAAGCCTTTGACCCCCACTTTCCGACCCCCAGCCCTCGCGTCCACATCCCGACTTCCAGCATGCGACATCCGATGTACCACTTCCGCCTCCACCTATCGACCTCCAGCTTCTTCCAGCTCACCATTCCCACCTCCAGCATCCAGCATTCCGACTTTCACTTCCACCTCCACCCGTCGACTTCCAGCGTCCAGCGACGCAGCACTCCGACCTCCACCCTCCAGCAGCATGTGACTTTCCACCTCCACCTCCACCCGTCGACCTCCAGCGTCCAGCAGCTCAGCGCTCCGACCTCCGCCCTCCAGCATCCGACTTTCCACCTCCACTTCCACCTGCCGACCACTCAGCATTCCGACTCCAGCATCCGGCTTCCGAATCTCCTCTTCCACCTGCACCACTTGACCTCCGGCGTCCACCAGTTCGTAATTCAGCACCCCGGCCTCGGCAAACAAGGACTACAAGCACAGGGGGCTTCGCCCCCCCGCGCAGGCCGCTCCCGGCGGAACCGCGTGCTCGCCAAACGCAGCCTAGCGCCTCTGTCTGACCTTGGAGTCCCCAGCGTTTCTTGGTCTTGGTCTTGGTCCTCCTCGTTGTCCTCCTCCTCCTCTTCCTCCTCCTCCTCCTCCACTATCCTCCACTCTCCTTCGTTGTAGTGTACATCTGCACCAGTGCGCGTGCCCAGCCCTGCCCCCCCCTCCCCCCGCCCCCCTATAGCAGGCGGGGCTCCACGCTCTGGCGCGCTCCATCGACCCGTGCCTGGTGGACGTTCTGCAGAGCCTGGGCGTTCGGGCGGCCTCGGGGGAGGAGGAACGAGGAGGAGGAGGAGGAGCAGGAGGAGGAGGAGGAAGAGGGGAAGGAGGAGGAGGATGGGAAGGGGGGGGGCGAGGAGGAGGAGGAGGAGGAGGTGCCCGAGGAGAGGAGGGGAGGGGGGAGGATGGTGAGGCAGTGTGCGGAGTGGCAGTCCCGCGGGCGATTTCCCATGCCAGGATTGTTTTTTGTGGAACAAAGATATGGCTGGTTTCCCAGAGCCACAGAGATTTCCAACATTCTGTATATGCATATAAACATATATATATATAATATTACATTTTCATAGGATTTCACCATGCCTCCCATCTGTTGGTAAACCGTTCCAGAGGTTTTTGTAACCCTTGTGTGCTGTGACCTCGCTTTGTGTGGAGCGCAGCCTTCCCTCCTGCCTCCTCCCCGCGTCTCCCTCTCCAGCCTCTTCCCTTTCCCTCCCTCCTCCTTCTCTCTTCCTTCGCCCTTCTCTCTGCTCACTTGCTCACTCTGCAACTGTCGCCGGTATGCTGTGCTTCTGGGAGGTCCAGCGGGGTGTGGTCTTACGCGGGGCCAGCCGAGACCTCTCTTCAGTGCTTCCGGGCTCTCCTGAAAAGGTCCAGCGGAGGGGGGTCCCACGCGGAGCTTATCTGGCCCTGCTGTCGACACTCTGCGGCTCCCATGAAAAATGACCAGCGCAGTGGGGTGCACGACCAACCCTCCTCCTCACTGGGTGTTGCCAGGAGCGCAACTGTCGACACTTTGCTGCGGCCCTGAGAGGTCGTGGAATGCATGCCGTGTGTCCTGGGATTGTTGACATCGGCCCCATGGGGTGTGCAACAGTATGGCTTCCTATACGGCTTCTCTGGGGGACGCATGCTCTGTCCTATGACCATGTGGTGTGCGCGTTGCTGATTTGACCCTTGTTGCAGATGGATTGGGCACGTCCCTGAGTATTGCGACGGCCTTACGGCGACGGGGACGGCGACGACGCTCGCGAGCCCTCGTGGGGGCCCCGGTGTGCGGCCCTGCTTGCTTCGGGAACTCTCCCAAGGCCCCCCCCCCGGCGACTTACACTTCCCACCAGCGGAGAAGGGATCAAAGGGAAGGGGCGTCCGTTCGACTCGATTGGCGTTCCTCTTCGCGGTTCTGTGGGGCTCTCTGGGGCCGTCCGTGTTCTCAGAGGGGTGTGGGGGGGGCCACGACCCGTGGGACTTCGCCACCCCCGGGAACCCGCCCGGGCCCCCCCCCCGGGACCCTCCTGGGGACCATCATTGTGACCCCCGCGTCATCGTTGAAGGGATCAAAGGGAAGGATCTTCCCTTTGATTCAAAAAAACGACGACCTTCGATTTCCGTCTGGCTGGCTGGATCGCTTGCGGAGGAGGGTCCAGGGAAAGGAGGAGAGCGAAGACGGCGACGGCGACGGCGACGGCGACGACGACGAATACGGAAAATGGGAGCGGCGATGGCGACAACGACGATGTTCTGTGCGTTTCTGGTTTGCCATTCGTTGCAGATGGATTTGGCACGTCCCTGAGTATTTGTTTGCAGATTCCCTCACAAGTGCTTGCACCGACGTGTGGGGTTCTGATTCCTCGTCTGAGGAACGAGGCGTGGTGGTCGGTCTGGCGGCTTTGCAGTCGCAGTCGCCGCCGCGTCGCCACCTCGTCACCTCCCGTGGTGTGGGCCTTGGGTTAAGGCGGGCCTGTCCTCTCACAGGAGGAATATTCAAAACAAGTCAAACAATAGTCAGGTGACGTTTTGTTGTTGTTGCTGCTGCTGTTGCTGCTGTTGCTGTTGTTGTTGTCGTTGTTGTTTTTGTTATTGTTTTGGTTGCTGTGGTTGTTGTTGGTGTTGGTGTTGTTGTTGCTGCTGTTGTTGTTGGTGTTGCTATGGTTGTTGTTGCTGTTGCTGTTGTTGTGGTTGTGGTTGTGGTTATTGTTGTTGCTGTTGTTGTTGTTGTTGTTGTTGGTGTTGGTGTTGGTGTTGTTATTGTTGTTGTTGTTGCTGCTGTTGTTGTTGTTGTTGTTGCTGTTGTTGTTATGGTTGTGGTTGTGGTTGTTGCTTTTGGGTGCTGGTGTTGTTGTTGATGTTGTTGAGATTGCAAGTTTTTGTGGGCCAGATCTCATGTTCGCCCAACTTCCGCCTGTAGTAGCACATGGCCGACCTAAGCCATAGGGGTCGGTCTGGCGGCCATGTCGCCGTCGCCGCCCCGTCGCCGCCTCGTCGCCGCCCCGTCGCCTGGGCCCGTGGGTCGGTCTGGCGGCGGTGCCGTCGCCGCTGCCGCCCCGTCGCCTCGCCGCCGCCTCGTTGCACAACGCATCTGTTGCAGTGTATTGCGCCAGGGCGGATCGCGGCGCGCCTTGGCGATGCTCGCTTCGCAGGTTGTCTATTATATTGATTTGGGCACCGCGCGCGTGCGGCGCTCGCGCGGCGCGGGCCCGTCGGCCGTTCTGCCCCATTTCGATAGCACCAACTCGATAGCACCGTAAATGCTGCATCTTATTGATCGTCCAACGGATATGGCGTCACAGATTTCGCACGACCTGGAGCGCAACACGTACACTGCGCATCAGATCTTGCACCTCACAGAATGCAGTGCACACACATATATATATATATGGATCCACATCGATTGCGCAACACACTGTGCTCCACACGTGTTGCACAACCTATATCGCACCACATACATTACACCACAGGGAGTGCACCGCATATATTGCACATCATACATTGCACAACGTAGACCGCAAACTCATATTACAACATATACGCTGCACCACACACAGTGCTCCACATATCAACGAATCTTGCTAGACGCATACTGTATTTGGGTCCAAATTGGCTAAGTGTGCTTCCACACATCTCCTGGACAACTCTCAGCACCCCTCCGAGACATTGCTCCCCCTGGCGTTACCCAAATGATTATCTCAAGTCTCCATACTGTTTGTTTGAATGTTTCCGTTGGCGGAAATCGCCCAGACCCCTCAAATGCATTTTTTTCCGTGTGTGTGGGACACGCCCACATCGCACCCCCAAGAGCCCTGCCCAGGAGAGGGAGGAAAAGGAGGAGGAGGAGGGCGAGGAGGAGGAAGAGGAGCAGAACAAGGCGGAGGACGACTAGGATGATTGCGATTTGCCGGTTAGAGATTGAGTAGCGTAAAAGGGAGGAGAAGGGAGAGGAGGGATGAAGCAGGGACGAAGGGCGGATGAGGATGGAGGATGCGAGGAGTATGGGTAAGAGTAAGAGTCCCAGGACATGTCCAAACGAAACGCTCAACAGTGGAACCACTTCTGTGCTCTGGAGACTTTGTGGGTCTGACTGTGGACGTTGGATTCAAGACTTCGGGCAAGGTATCCAGCTCTGGCCGGGGTAGCCTTACAAGTACACTGCTTCCCTAACCCCACGAGCTGCTGATCAGCAAACATGCCACACACTTCACACAACCACACATCAACATACTGGCTATACCGCATCTTGTGAGACCCGTGCACCCACCCCCCAGTGATGTGCAACTTCGCCCAGAGAACGAGGAGGAGGACGACGAGGAGGATGATAAAGACGGATTAACCGCCTACCCACGATAATAATGTACCCCCCTTAACTCGTTAGAGTTTTTTATCGTCGACCAATAAGAGTTTGGTCGGGGGCGCGGGGGCGCGGAGGCCGAACTTCATTATCACGGGAAAAGCTCGCCATCGAGGTTACTTCCTTCTTATGTTGAGATAACAACATCAAACGAAAGGAACACATTGTTTCAGGAGGTCTCAAGCGAAACCAATGTCCTTCTGTCTCTTTGTAATTGTTTCTGTCGCTGTTTCTTTCTTTCTCTGTCTCTCTCTCTCTCTCTGTCTCTCTATCTCTTTCTCCTCCTCCTCCCTCTGGCGCCCTGAACTTGTTTATCGCTGGGGTTGTTTATCCTGGGACAGCGAGGCACGTGAGCTACCCTACACGAGCAGATGAAACTTTAAATTTTCATCAAGCGTTTACACATTAATTCCAATACGTTTTACACTTTGGATTTTTGCCATCTCCTTCTCCTCTCCTCCTCTTGCTCTTTCTCCTCCTCCTCCTTCAAGGATGTCTCAAGCGAAACCGATGTCCTTCTGTCTCTTTGTAGTTCTTTCTGTCTCTCTTTCTTTCATTCTCTGTCTCTCTCGCTCTGTCTCTCTATCTCTTTCTCCTCCTCCTCCCCCTGGCGCCCCGAACTTGTTTATCGCTGGGGTTGGTTATCCTGGGAAAACGCGGCACGTGAACTACCCTACACGAGCAGATGAAACTTTAAATTTTCATCAAGCGTTTACACATTAAATCCAATAAGTTTTACACTTTGGATTTTTGCTATCTCCTTCTCCTCTCCTCCTCTTGCTCTTTCTCCTCCTCCTCCCTCAAGGATGTCTCAAGCGAAATAAGCAATACTTTGAAGATGTCTCAAGCGAAACAGACGAATATTTCGAGAATGTCTCCAGCGAAACAAGCAATTCGTTGAGGATGCCTCAACCGAGACAATCCTCAAGATATCTTTGGCTTTTTCCTCTTGATATTTCTTTATGCTGGCTCTGGCGGGCAACTTTTATTATCTACCCGGAAGCCCCGAACTTTACTATCCCTGGGGATTTATTCTCCTGGGTTCTCGGTTATTCTCGTATCAGGTGAAGGATTTGGAGGAGGAGAATGAGGGGGAAGGAGGAGGGGGAGGAGGAGGAGGAGTTCAGGTGGCGGCAGATCTCAAGTCCATCACCGATGCGGACGTGCGGATACGAGGCCGGTGCAGGGGTCGAGGGCGGGGCATGGGTGGGCACAGACGGTGAAGGGCAATGACGCAGAGGTCGAGGCAGGGATAAGTGGTGGGATAGATGGTAAACGGAAAGGAGGATTATAAGAGGGGGAGAACGTAGAAGAGGGATATGCAGAGCAGGGAGAAGAGAAGGAAGAGATGAAATCTATTGTATATATACAAATGGGAGTGAGCGAGAGAGAGAGAGAGAGATGACATGTGTCAGGGATTGATGAAGGGTATGTGAGGGGGGTAGAGAGGGATGTCAGAGGTTGGGAGGGACGGAAAGTGAAAGCACGCCATAATCCTCTCCGACCCCCACCCTCAATCCCTCTTTTCTCTATTTCCTGTTGCCCAGACCGCTCCTCCTCCTCCTCTTTCTCCTCCTTCTCTTCTCCCTCTTCCCGTCTTCATCATTTCTCCTCCTCTCTCTTCCCTCCGATTCCCTCCCCGATTTTCTCTCCTCTCTCCTCCTCCCTTTCACCGGGACTCCCCCATTCTGCCTCATGTTTTGTGCATTCACGTTTCGCAGTCGCGCGTATCGTCGTCGCGCATGGGACGCGCGTGGGTGGACTGCGCTTTGCCAGAGGAGCTGTGTAACACGCGCTGCAAGTCACCGATGACTTGGTGTAGTTGCCTCTGGCCAGTGCCGCCGATCCGGAGCGCTCCCGATGGTGCTCGGGTTCGATTGGAGGCTCATGGGGCCGTCTTGGGGCCGTCTTAGGAGCCTCTTGGGCCGTCATAGGGCCATCTTGAAGGCCTCTTGGGCAATCTCGGGGGCTCTGGGGCCGTCGGAAGCCGAGGAACGCCACTCCACCAGATGCAGTAGCCTCGCCTGGTCAGGCGTCGACGACCACGTCAGCTGTAGCTCTGCAGTACGGCAGGCCTGCACCTCGGCGGGCGCCTTGACGACCGCACGCTGCGCTCACCTGGGCGACTCTTGTCGCTTCCACGGCTCTGGTAGCTCCCATCGCCATGCCGTCCCCGCTTCGGCCTTTCATCCCCAAGACGCGCGTATCCAGGGCTGGCTTGCGCTCAGGCGGCGTGCGCTGGTGCTCGGGAGTCCCAATATGGCTCTGCCGTTGGGCGCTCCGCCTCATCCCTTCCTCCCGCCCTTCCCACAGTACGAGCAGAGAACGTCTGCCCTCCTGGCACGTGTGAAGGACAAGGATTTACTCTCGAAGGCATAGCCTTTGTGACCTTCTGTGTCTTTGGTGTGATCACCTTCCGACCTTTTCTCTCCACCCCGTCCTCCATCCTCATGCAGTGCCTCTTTCCCGCAGAGCTCGACCTATGCGGTGTTCTAGCGATCTCGAGGACGGTTTTTCGTTTTGGTTTCGTAATGCAGCACGAGCGGAACGAAGACATAACGAGGAACCACGACAACAACACGAACACGGAAAAAACTGTTTGGGTCGAGCCCTGCTTCTCGCCCTCTTCCTCCCCTCTCCTTCTCCCAGTGGGCGAGTGGCGACTGGGAGCCTCCCTCGGTCCTCGTCGGTTGGCCGTCTTCGCCTCGGCTTCCCTGTTCGCTCCCCTTCACCTGTCCGCCCCGCCTCCAGGAGGGGGCGACGACGAGGAGTACGGGAAGGAGGCGAGCAGGATGATTCGGTGGAGGACGGGGGAGGAGACTACCAAGGCTGATGCTGAGGAGGAGGAGGAAGAGGAGGAGGAGGAGGCGGAGGAGGAGGAAGAGGACGACGACGACGAAGGCGAGGGAGGAACAGCAGGATGGGGAGGAGAAGACGGGGAGTGGGAAGACGAGGAGGAGGATGACGAGGAGTAGGGGAACAAGGAGGAGGAGGACTAATAACAATACTTGATAACAGTAATCGTAATACTCATAATCCGTTTAATACTACTAGTACTAATCGTTGTACTCACACTTTTCATAATAATCATGACATAATCAAGAATAATAAGAAGACTAATCAGAAGGAGACGGACTCGAAGAGGAGGAGGAGGAGGAGGAGGAGGAGGAAGAGGACCAGGAGGAGGAGGAGGAGGAGGAGGAGGAGGAGGAGGAGGAGGAGGAGGAGGAGGAGGAGGAGGAAGAGGAGGACCAGGAGTGCGTCGCGCCCAGCGCCAGGCGCTCCTCTGGTGGCCTGGCGCAAGCTGCAGGAGGCCTGCGAGCGGCTCCCGGCGGGCGACGCCGGCAGTGCCAGCGAGGACGCGGCTGGACGGGCGAGGTGGCATATTCTCGGGTCGGGGGGGTACGAATTCTGCTGCATGCAGCTGGTTTCGGCCTCACCGAGGGGCCCATTCCTCGATACATGGCCGCCTCCGGCGCCGGGAGGCGCCGGGAAAATCAGCTACGCGAGCCGATTCTCAACCCCCCCTTTTGCTATCCCCCCCTTTCGCCCGACCCGATATTCCGAGTTTCTTGATCATCGGGGACGCGTAAGACTCGAGTAAGCCGGAATTCGGGTTTGCCGACGTTTTTTGACGAGCGCGTCCCTTGGATTTTGACGGTCCAGTTTTCGTGGGACGTCTGCAGCGGGAGCTCGCGTCAAATTTCAGATCGGGTCTCGTCATTTTTTGGATGGCCCGTCAGGCCAACCCGAGTCCCCCGTACCCGAGTCTTACGTCTCCCCGAAATAAGCGTCGGGGGGGCGTCACTCCCGCCGACAGCCCCACATCGACCCCCGTCGCAGGCAGCCACCGCGCGTATTGAGAAACCCAGAGTAGCCGAGGACAGAAGTTGGTGGCCAGCAGGGGTGCCCCCAGAGATTCGTCTCTTCGACAAAAATTGGAGCGGCGGGGTTTTGGCTGCTTTGGGCTCTGGGGGCCCTCGCCGGGCCTCGGGACCGTCAAATAAAGATTCGGGACTAAAAACTTGCACTAGAGACGTGGTCCAGACCTCCGAGGCCCACGCATCGAAAACATTGAGCAGCCAGATGTTTGGGTTCGACTGGGCAGCGGAGGGAGAGATGGGGGATGGCAAGCCAGGTGTGCTCGCGGCATCCTGCATCTCCCACGCATCATTTACGTTTTGCGTTGAGGTCATGAAGCCATCGATCAAAGGGGGGCGACCGATTTCCGTCCCCCCACCCAAGAGCCCTTGAAGTCGCCGCTTGGGTCCCTCTTGGGGCGCTCTTGGGTCGCTTTTGAGCGCTCTTGGGGCCGACTGGAAGAGCCCCTTGGGCTCCTCTTGGGGCTGCTTCGGGCCTTCTTGGGGCAATCTTGAGGCCCCCAAAGCGCATCGGAAGCGAAACGACGAAAAGGCAACACTCATTGATTTCCCTTAGGTTGTTTTTGGCCTTTTAGAGGGGTCCTGAGGGGGCTCCGGGAGCACTTGGAACCGTCTTGTGGCCCTCGTCAGGCCTCTTGGAGGCACTTGAAACCATCTTCGAACCATCTCCGATTATCTTGAGCCGCCTTAGAGGCCATCTTGGGGCGTCGGAGGCCGTCTTGGAGCCATCTTGCGCGAACAAGGACTCTCTGAAACATCGCGGCCCAACCCAGAACACCGCAGGGATATAGGGAGAGGGTACCCCTCCCCGAAGGGAAGAGGGTTTTGGAAGAGGAAAGAATGATTGGGCCAAAGGGCTGATAGGGTTATGGGAGGAGGAGGGGGCAGCGGATGAGGGAGCAGGAGGAGCGGGAGGGGGGTGGGGGGGAGGAGGGATGGAGGAGAGGGACGAGGATTTGTTGCTGTTGACGTTGCGTGGCATCCGTCCATCGGGTCGCGGGCAGGGCAGCGATTGGGAGCAGCCCGGGTCCGACCTGAGCGAGGAGGAGGAGGCGCCATTCCACCGCCTCATCTCTGCTCCCTGGCCTAACATCTTCTTTCGCTCTCTCTATCTTTCCTCGCTCTCTTCCTCTCCCTCTTTTTTTTCTCCCTCTCTCTCTCTCTTCTCTCTCTCTCTTTCTCTTTCTCTTTTTTTGTTCTTTCTCTCTCTATCCCCCCTTCGTCCTGCATCCGTCTTGCCTTCCTCTTTCTGCTACTCCCCCTTTGCTATATCATCCTATAATTTCTCTCTCTCTCTCTCTCGTTTTTGTGCTGTTGCTGATGTTGTTGTCGCTGTGTTGTTTGTTTATTGGTCGTGCTGCGTTTTTTTTCCAGTGTTTCCCTAGTTGTTTGCTACCCTCTCTCTCTGTCTCGTTACCTGTGCATAGATTGGTGTGTGTGTGTGTGAGTGTGTGTGTGTGTGTGTGTGTGTGTGTGTGTGTCTGTGTGTGTGTGTGTGTGTGTGTGTGTGTGTGTGTGTGCGTGTCTCTGTGTGTGTGTGTGTCTGTGTGTGTGTGTCTCTCTCTCTCTCTCCCTCTCTCTCTCTCCAGTTCTTTCTCTCACACCTCTTCCTCTCCTCTTTCCATTTCCTCCTCTCCTCTTCATCTTCTTCCGCCATAGCCGTAGCCATTCTGGCTCAGGGGCCTGGCAGGCGCTGGGACCCGTGCGGAGGCGCCCTCGCGAGCGCCGCGGCCGCGCTGCCCCCTGGCGCGCGGCATTAGGCGGTGCGATGGGGCGAGGCGGGCGCCGCGGGCCCACGGTCCGCCACGGTGCCGCCCTCGCGTCTGTGGGCACTGTGGGCGAGGCCGCCGAGCTCATGCTGCTCCTGCAGGCCAAGGGGCAGTCGGCGGAGCCTTCGCCAGTGGCGGCGGAGGCGCAGGCCGAGGCGGCCACGCGCGCGGGAGGCGGGCAGGAGGGCGAGGGACGCCTTTGCTTCGGAGCCCACGCGCAGCGCCTCGCCGGCTGTGGCGCTGAGCTTGTCGCCGCCCTGGGCGGCAGCACCTTGGCGAAAGGGCTGGAGAAGCTCAGGGACCAGGGGAGGAGGCCTCCACCGCACCTCGAGCGAGCCTGGCGGGGCATTGACACCGCCGCGAGCCTGCTTCGCCACCCGGGCATGGGCGATGAAGCCCTCGACCAGGCGCGGGCGTGGCTCAGTGATGGCGGAGAGGCCCACGGGATGTCCAAGCTCGTGCGCGAGGAGGCGGACTCCAGCGCGCAGGGGCCCAGGGAGAATGAGAGCAAGCTCGAGCAGAAGTCTTCCTGGCAGGAGCTGCTGGGCGAGAAGATGCTGGAGCTGGAGGCGGCAAAGGCGGAGCACAAACAGTCCATGGAGCAGAAGGAGACCGAGCTGTTGGGGGCAATGCGGATCAAGGCCCAGCTCGTGGCCCAGAACGCGGAGCTCCTGATGCAGCTTAGCCAGCAGGGCCAGGAAATGCACGTCGTTGGGGAGATGCTGGACGACTCCAAGCAGCGGATCAAGCAGATGGAGACCGAGACGCGCGACCTCGCCATCGTGATCGATGAGCAGGGCAAGCAGATAGAGGAGCTCGAGGAGGCCTTGGACAACTTGCGCATGCTCGCCCCGCCCGTGGAGGTCCCTGCCTTCCCGCTCTGGACATCTTGCAGAAGAAGGGCGAGATCGACGGCGGGGAGGGCCAGTCGCGCAACGTCGAGCAGCAGAACGACGGCGACGCCCAGTGGACCGAGGGCCACACGTGGAGCTTCGCGGAGGGCCAGGGCAGAAAGCTCTACTTAGAGGAGGCAGAGGAGAGCATCGAGGACGGCCAGGTGCGCACAGTGGACGCGTACTTGCAGGTGGCCCTCGGCAACCAGCAGGGCATCGCGGAGTGCCAGGGCCGTCCCCAGTGCGCCCACGAGACGGAGCAGAGCGACGGCGACGCGCAGACGTTCCATGCGCGGTGGGGGGCCGCACAAACAACCCCCAGCTGGTGCGCGCCGAGGCGCGCGACAAAATGGCAGCCCAAGACGGATGGGGCTCAGCACGAGTTCGCAGGGCAGCAGAAGTGGAATACCCACGCCTGGCCCGAGGAGGAGCAGAGGGCGGAGGGCTCGAAGCGCAAGCAGTGGCCCAGTAGGGGCAAGCCAGAGTGGCTCCTGCTCAAGGACGCTGAAAAGGCGCAGGCCGCGAACGCGATGGAGATCCCGCGGAGCAGCGGCCAGAGACGGCGGAGGCGGTAGTGTTGGCAGCAGCCGTCAGCCTGCTGATCGTCGCCTGCCGCCAGGGAGAGCAGCAGCGGAGGCGGGTGCACTGGCAGCAGACATCGGCCTGCTGGTCCCCGCTTGCCGCTAGAGAGGATGCGCGCTGAGGCTGCTGGCCCACCCTGCCGCGAGCGCGCTGCTAGTGCGCTCGGCCAGGGTGCCGAGACCAGGGGCGCCCATGTGCATGCCTGAGCACACGAGCTTAACATCTTCCTCCGCCATAGTGTGAGTCGAATCGAGCCACCTTCCTCCCCCCTCCCTCAATTCTCCCTTTCCTTTCCCTCTCACGAGGAAAAGGAGGAGGAAGAGGAGGAGCAGGAGGGGAAGGAGGAAGAGGTGGAAAAGGAGGAGGAGGAGGAGGGGAGGGGGAGGAGGAGGGGAGGAAGAGGAGTTGGAGGAAAAGGAGGAGGAGGAGGGATGAATGAATGAATGCGTGCGCGAATGAATGAAGAGACCGCGGAGCTCGGAACCTGCCTCGGGCGAATCAGCGGCACGGCCGCCGCCCCTCGCGCGCCCGCCCCCCGGCTTCGCGCCCCCGTCAGGGGAACGGCTGCTGGGGGCTGCAGGTCCCCCTCCTCCTCCTCCTTTCCTCCTCCTCCTCCTCCTCCTCCTCCTCCTCCTCCTCCTCCTCCCTCTCCTCCCTCTCCTCCTCCTCCTCCTCCTCTTCCTCCTCCTCCTCCTCCTCCTCCTCCTCTTCGCCCCTTCGCGCCTGGCGGCACCTCTTGGGAACGTCGGGTCGCCAAGATATTTCGGCGCCTGGGCAGAGGGCGACTGCTCTGGCGGAACGGCAGCAGGGGACACGCTGTAGCCAAATGATGGCCGCGATGCACAGAAGGAGGAGGAGGAGGAGGAGGAGGAGGAGGAGGAGGAGGAGGAGGAGGAGGAGGAGGAGGAGGAGGAGGAGGAGGAGGAGCCCCGGCGCGACAGGAAGGGAGGAAGCCGGGCCACTCAGAGCTGCCGGCGGCGGCGGGGGGAGCACCGAGGGGGGGAGCCGCGCCAGGACAGGGCTGCACTGGGCTGCACTGAGCTGAAGCTGGGGGGAGGCAGCACTGAGCTGCAGCTGGTGGTGGCAAACACGACGAAGTTACACGGGTCGCCAACTCAGACGTAGCAGCACGGCTCTCCGGGCCAGAAGTCCAAGATGCCACATACTGCAATACATGCACATCACTTGGTCATATCATCACCAATGTGAGCGCCCTCCTTCATAACCAAGGTGCTCAAACGGATTCTTCTCACTACTGAGCGTGGTACGTGGAGGCCCTGAATTGGAACGTGCAGTCGGTCTTGATGAATGACCGCCGCTGGTGACGGCAACA